CCAAGTAATATTCATAGAATAGATACAGAACAATGACAACCACAATAAATTCGATAATCATGATGTTGTTAGTTGACCTATTCAATTGAAAAATCTAAAAATACTTTGAAGAATTAGAAGTTTTTTGGCAATCTTGATGGGTGAGAATGTGGATGTAACTATGGGTATCGCTTATTTACTCACACCTTACCCTCACTCTCAACAATAAGCTTATCGAGGATTTGTAAAAGAGCATTGTAATTGAAAGAAAAATCGATGTATTATTTTTCTTCAGAGACGAAATTTTTTCTTACCTTTCAGCAACAAACACAATAGGTAACTGTGAAGTTTCACTTTCTACTTTTACGTGTTCTTCATAAAAATAAGCGGCGAGCACATGGTTGTTTGCTCATCATATTAATCTTTCATGCTGGTAAAAAACCCAACAACTTTGACTAATGCAATGAGTCGTAGCTGTCATAAATTCCAGAAAAAACCTACATTTTTTTGGCTATAAGACATTAAAGTTAACGTTAGAATTTCGTTTGAAAAAGTCATCTTTTGGTATAGGTGTGATAATGAATATTCTACTCCGTTCGTCCACATCTACACGTACATCCTCGATGAATCATTTATCTGAATGAATAATCAAAAGTTACATATATCACTATAAGTATTTCATAATTCTTATCAAAACGAGAAGAAAAGTAGATTATAAAATAGAAATTTTCCGTTCTTTTTTTTTTGCTAAATTGTTTATTTCTGATCGAGAATTTATTGTTGATAACAATATTTACATGTACGTCCAAACAGTTCTTCTCTATTTACATTATTATCAGACCAATCAGGGCATGCTGACACACAAGCAAGCAATTTATTCTTACTTGACTCTTTTCTACAAGAACGAGAATAATGTACTTTTTCTTACAAGCGTTCTCGCTAAAATAGTTATTCTCTGAAAACATTAATGTATAAGGTAATAACATAAATGTAGTTCATTCAGATGATCAGCCTTATATACCTACTTATATTAATCATGTTTACGATTAAAAATTTCGATTAAACTGCTACATTTATTGTAGATATATATTGTATAAGACGAAATTTAACAACTAATCTTGGAAAAGATATTGATTTTGATTGATTATTTGTAAGATGATTGACATTGAAGAAATTTACTAATGTTGTAAATTACAGAAACTTGATATATACAATATGTTGAGTATCTTGTGACATCGATAAAATTTCTTTCGAAATATAATCCCATTTAAATCTGTCGATATTGATATTCATATTCCAATTTAGACTTATCTGTTTAGGTTTTTCAATTACCATATTTTGTTAAAGAATATTCTTGCATTTTTAGATAATACATAATAACATTGCGATGATATCATCGAAGAATACTTAGTAGACACTCGGATATATTCAAACTTAATGGTATATTGTAACAGTATTTGTTTGTATAGCGATAATCATACGATGTCTACATGGCCATTATCAATCCGATATATACGATAGGGATGTTAACCTTCTGTTCAATATGATTTATGTTACCATAAGGCGAAAAAAACGGAATTAAGTGATGCAAAACAATGTTAATCATAGAATAGAGATTAATGACGAACTCTTTTGAACCTTTTTTTTATCAACAATCATCACTTTATAGATATTCGAGTAGAAACACTTATAATCAAACCATAAAAAATATGTATTGTTTAGTTAAAGTGTATATAATCGTACGTTTAAATCTTTGTAACATTTTACATTTATAATTAAGTTCGAAAGTTTAAAGGATTAAATCAAGTACGTATGTGTAAATATACGATTAATAAAATAAAATGAATATGTTAATGATTTATTGATTTAATTATCTAGTAAAAAACTTCTTTTTTTTGTTATATTTACAACTATGTATGTATTCTTTTTTTTTCGTCTCTAACATTTTGATAACAATGATGATTGATTGAAGGTTACATACTAGTCGGTACTTGACGCCATTTTTTACGACTCCCTATTATTCTACAATGTAGTCAATGTTGTATCCGATGATAAGAAAACATAATGTTATACATCTTATCTTCATAGTTAGTCGATTGATCGAGTATCATACATAACTTTAGTGTCAATTGACCTTTGAAGTATACAAACGACATGATGTAGTACAAAGAAATAAGAAACTGAGAATTTGCCAATTTTCTATGTTAGTTTTACTTACTTATTGAAGATATATATTATGTGTTATACATCTCAATATCATTGTCAAGGATATATTTGTACAAGAGAATATATCCAAGGGTATTCTCACCAATGTCACAACATATGATATTACATGAACAATTAACGAATATATACATAGCTGAAGATTGTTTTATTAAGAGATCATAAAAGAATTCTCTTCTAAAAAACAAATTTCATTTTATATATATATCATTTCTCTTGACACTGCAATGTGAGACAAGGTTATTATAAAATTAATTTTTATTTGAATCGATGTCTGCCATCAATTTCTTTTTTGTTATATTTAAATGTCTATGTAATTTTAACCTTCTTTAAAATATGTTTTCTGTTTATGAGATAGGAACAACAACAACAAAAACAAAGGTTTTTAAATACTTCTTATATAATCATTATGTCTGGCAAATGAACATGTATCTTACGACTAGTCTTAATGAGCACGATTTCATCGTCGTCGTCGTCGTCATAAATTGATCTGTTTAGAAATGGATTAAGATGGAACGCCTTAGTCTTGTTTCTATGTTTATTTAACAAACTCTATTCTTCGTCTTTCATCGTCTTTGTATTGCGTTGATTGAATCGCTCGTTCGCCACATATACACATACGCACACTCTCTCTCTTTATCTCTCTTGTTCTCCGAAAAACTAGATATTACGTCATCATCATCTATCGACGATAAGATCAAGTGAAGGTCGATTTTCTAAGCCGGAACTTAGATTATAATTATCGGCTAGTTGAAAACGTGCACGAACAAAAACAAACTAGAGCTTCTATCGTGTATTCATTAAAAAAAAGAATCTAATCGATTGCCTATTGTGACTCGTCACTTTTTCATTTATATGGTTGTGATTATATTGTTCTGCATCTCATATGTGTATACTTCTTGCTTTCTGTACATAGAACGGGAGAATGGAGAGAGTGATGGCAGAACGGAAAAGATGGTGGCAACAGCGTTATAAACTTTTTTTCTCTCTCTCTTCTGTCTCTCTCTCTCTTTCTCTAGTCGAGACACCGATTTCATCCTGCATATATGTGTGTGTGCGTATGTGTTGCATAGAAAGTTACTGTTCGAATTCTTGATAAGACATTAACAACGGTCGGTGAGTAAATTTTTTTTTTACCGATCTTCTTTTTTTTCTAAGATTGAGCAGAATAATATTGCTAATTGGAATAACTACATCGGAGAGTTAGAAACACGTAATGAAATTTACATAACCAACATCATTTTCTATTCTGATCGGTACCGATCAAACACTTTATTTTTTTTTTGTATATGTAATCAAGTGAACATAGAATTAGCTTACAAAATCATTAATCATTTCAAAATACTTACTATTGAATAAGATATTAAATACACACTTAAAGGGAAAAAAATGTTTTGAAAATAGAAGACAAACTAATTTATTGTTTACATGTTTAGCATAAAAAGTAATAATGATCTATTTATATATAAATACATCTGTATAGTCTAGCCAATACAAGACGAACATCTATAAGAGTTATTACACTATTGTCACATCTAATTTGTTCTAGAGTATACACATTTATGACAACAGAAGGATACACTAAGAGATATCATAATTAAATGGAATAGTTCCATATTTAATCTGTTATCTTGTGTACACATCTGTTCTCACAAAAGACATGTACACTAATACTAATGATCATTTTTGTTTTCTTCTTCTTCTTCTAGGAAATGCAGTTAGCTATTGCACTTTATAATAATGATGTTGATGATGAAGATGAATTAGAATTTCTCAAAGGTGATATATTAACTGTTCTAATTGAAAATCCAAATGGTCTCAATGGTTGGTGGTTATGTCAACATAATGGAAAATGTGGTTTATGTCCAGGAAATCGTTTAAAACTTATTTCAGATACAACAACATCATCAGAAATTAAATTAGATAAACCAAAATGTTCTTCTCCTTGTCTATCAACAGCATCAGTAAGTTTAAATATAATTCATAGAAAATAAATCAATTGAATATCATTTAGATGTATGATAGTCTATCAAATGATTATGATATTCCAATAACAGCATCAACATCATCATCATTGACAACATCCTCATCTGAGCATGACTATGATATTCCACACGGATCAGGTGAGAAGACTAATAAAAAAAGAAGAGAAAAGAATTCATTTGCAAGTCAAATCAAACAATTGTTCAGCTGTCGCACCAAGCAAAATTTATGTTCTTTTAACTATAGTTTATTATTTAGATGTTATTTCCAATTCACATACTCCAATACCAAATGATTCGTCACCGGAATCTTCATCACGTTCATCAGGAATTTATTCTACCAATGATCTTCGTCTATCAGATTTATCTTCATCTTCATCCTCATCAGAATTTCATACATCTACGATGAACGGTAATAGTCATACTCATGCATTATCATCATCATCAAGTAAGTTTGACTTCTACGGTCATGGCCTTCACACATTAGCATAGACCATGCTGATTATTATCAGCAAGGCGCCCGCACATATAGTGATTAAAATAAACATAACATAGCGTGTATGCACATATATTTATGTATTTACCAAATCAAAGTGTTAACTACACATCTGTATTTATGTCTATATTACTGAAAAACAGATAATCGACTGTGACTCTCATAGATTTCCTTTTTTTTCTATCGATTGCTTCCAGGCATCATATAAAAAAAACTATATTATATCGAGTAAGAATACAAGTTACATAAAAAGAAAATAAATTATGTAATAGAGAGAAGAACATAAGGCACGTCGAGTTCATATTTTTCTCATTAGTCACGTCTCATTGACTATCAAGTAGTTATCTTGAGAAAAAAAAAACTTTTTCTTATTCTTGATTTAGGTGATATTGATCAATTACAAACTTCTTTTCGAAAATTATCTATACGTTCTTTATTACTTGATAAATATCGTCAACTCTTATCAAATTCAAATACTGATTCAATCAATCATTTATTTATTAGTGAATGTCGAATATTTCTTTATGATTATGGTTGTTTATTAGATCGACATACATATAAAATTTTTAAACAAAATTTACTCTATGAATTAGAGCATATTACAAAGAATAATAATCAACGAATTATTCAATTAGCAACACAAATCATCTATTTAATAAAACCAATTATTGAATTACGTCTTAAGCAGAAAAATACGAGTTTTTCATCGATACCAGTTGATGTTTTTAAAAAACTTAATCTTGAACCCATTGAAGAATTAACAAATGAAAATGAGAATAAAAAAATGCCAACATCTATGTCAACAACACAAATATATGGAAATTTTCAAAATAAGAAGTCAAGTAAGAGACTAATAATTGTTTTTTAAAAGGAATTTTTTCTGTCTTATTATATCGATATTAAAAATAAGAAAATGACTTATATAACCATGTTTTATTGTATTCATTCTATTTATTAAATCATTAATAGTATATGTATAGTAAATAAGAATTTTATTCTATAGAAGGTCATACTCGTTCTTTACAAATGACAACATCTAAAACATGTCATTCAAATTTTCTTACTGAAATCAATAATAAATCAGATGATTATGATTATATTGATGATGATTATTCAACAATTCCTTCGACAACCACAGATCCACTTGTAAAATGTTATCATCGACATATACGTGAACATATATCATCCATGTTTATGCGTTATACACATCTATCTCAGTTAAATCGACAATTGAATGAAACAAATACAACTGCATTGTTAATAACTGAAGGCAAAGCACTTATAGTTGCTGGACATAAACTTGTATTTGTACTTGAAACATTACATGAACATCTACGACATTCAATCAAAATAAAACAAATTCAAACACCATTAATCTATCTAACAAAACAATTATGTGATGCATTAACATCATTTGTTCAATTACTAAAACAATTTAGTAATCAAAACTGTACAAATATTCAAAAATTTCAACATGATACACAAATTATCATGAATTTAGTCAAAAAAATAAAACAACAATGTAGTTCAGTTTAATATCTTTGTTTTTTTTTTATCTCGAATCGCTTTGTTTTTTTTTCTTTTTGCTTTTGATAACTAGTCAGGTATTGTTAAAATGAATGAATATATATATATATATATATGACATAAGAATGAAATTTTCTCATATTATTAATAAATGACAAATGTTTTATAAACTGATCGTATTTACATTGGACAAATATAAAAAATATAACAATAAAATGAGAAGACGAATGTTTGATCTATTATTAATAATAGCATTACTTTCTTCAACAATCACAATACCATCATAACCAACAATTAATTTTATCCAATCGATATACATACTTATTCGAGTATAAACACCAGTATAATCACGTAAAGCGCATCGATAACCGTATGATATAATACCTGTCAATATCCAACGTTGTTTATGAGTAGAAAAGTACATTATAGGACCACCAGAATCTCCTTGACATGTATCTAGAATAGATTTAATTAAAATAAATTGTTTGTTTGTTTTTTATTTTCACTTACTTTTTCCTCCGCCTTTAACAGCAGCACAAAATTGTAAATGAATATTTTTTATGATATTATTACATTTTGAATCAGTACTATCGATTGCTTCTAATGTAACTTGTCTAAGATTCATAGGAAATAAAAAATCTTCCCATGTTGGAACACCCCAACCAATTGTTATCAATGTTGAATATAATATTGGATATCTTATTCGTTGAGATTTAATTACATTTGGTAAACATATTTTTGCGATGTTAATGTCATCCATTGAAATTGATGCATTTAATTTAAGTATTGCAATATCATTTTCATTACTTGTTAGATTCCATTTTGGATGAATAAAAATTTGTGATACTATTCTTATTTGTCCATTCGAACTCAATAATGAATCAATGCCCATAGCGACGGAATAAGGTAAATATTCTTCGGATATTTTTCTAAAACAATGAGCTGCTGTAAGAATAAAATTTTTCGATAAGATAGTTCCACCACATATATGCATATCATTGGAATTTCGAACTGAAACAGCCCAACCCCAACTACGATAAGCTACTGTCTCACCACCAATAATACCAAAATTAATATCAACATTATTACGTGAACAACCACATAAATCAGTTGATTTGCATTGAAAAATTGTTGCTTGTATTAAATATAAACTGAAGTAGTTATATATAAGAAAGTGTATATATCGACATAGGCCAGTCATGAAATTTTGTCCGTTCTTATGTTGAATATGAACACGATAAAGATATACTGTACTCGAATATATTGTACTTGATGATAAGCAATACTTATTCAGATAGTATCAGTATCACAACGACTCTCTCTTTTTTCTTGTTATTCATGCCCTATGCATGCGTTCTTTTTTTTCAGTTCTTTTCTTACAACAGTTCATTATTCAATGAATAAATTGTATTTTAGACAAACATCTAAAGTTTATATATGATTTTTTATTTATAGAATATAAAAAAATATTATTCTCTCTAAAGTCAATGATTAATTATAGAGGACAAAATTTTTTTCCATTCCAAAGAGCTAATTTAGACATCAGTTCCTGTTTAGCTAGACGAATCAATTAACAACGAAAATAATAAGATTTTATTATCTCTGTGTTTTTTATTATTTGGTCAATTAGACGACAATTATGCAAGAAGGCTATACCTTCGAGGTTATACAAATATATATATAGTCAATATCCAAAAACTGATTGAAAACTATTATTAGTAACTGATGACGGATATATCTTATACAATTGTAATCGTTATAAAACTATTTATTTTGAATATACGAATATTGCACAAGAAATATTAAAATAACAATGATCAGATTTGATATATTATTAATATTTGCATTGTTTTGTTGAATAGTTATCATACCATCATCACCTACAATCGATTGAATCCAATCGATATATACGCTGACTCGTGTATAAACGCCAGCATAGTTTGGTAATGCACATTTGAAACCATATGAAGTTATACCTGCAAGTATCCATATCTGTTCAGACTCTGAATAATACATCAATGGGCCACCAGAATCTCCTTGACATGTATCTATAGATAATAACTATAAGTTATCTCTTTCTTATGATATAAACAAAAGTATTTCTGTACCTTTTCCGCCACCCATAACTCCTGCACAAAATTGAAGATTGACATTTCTTATTAAATTCTTACATATTTTTTCATTATTTTGAACAGTTTTAACTGTCACTTGTCTAAGAAAATTAGATGTATCACCATCATAAGAAGTAAGTCCCCAACCTATGGCTATAACTGGTTTTTTAATAATTGGATATCTAAATTGTTCAGATTTCGATACAAGTGGTAGACAAATTTTAGCAACATTAACATCATGAAAATCAATTGGAATACTAAGATATAGAATAGCAATATCATTTTCTTTTGTTTTTGAATTATAATTAGGATGAATGAAAATCTTCGACGATATAATTATTTTTCCTTCAGAACTATTTAATGAGTCTGTACCGACAACAATTGATGAAAGAGCAGGTGAAAGTATCATATCTGCAACACAATGCGCTGCTGTAAGCACGTAATAACGCGAGAGAATAGTTCCACCACATATATTTCTTCCAAAAAAATCACGCACTGAAACAGCCCATCCCCAACTATGATTAGCAGCTGGTTCACCTCCAACTATTCTTGCATTAATATTCGCATTAAATCGTGAGCAACCACATGAAACAGTAGTATTGCATGAAAACACAGTTGCTTGTACTAAATATTGATTACAATAAATGAATGCAATAAGAAATGTGATTGAAAACGAATGAAGAATCATATTCTTTAATATTCAAAAGTTTTATCTCAAGAGTGTTTTTGTTGTCAGTATACGTTATCTTACAAATGTCGCAAAAAGAATTTCTGTTTCTAATCTACCTATGTATATTATATCAAACAATACACATTTTATTATTTAATATACAAATTTTAGTTGATACATATAATAGTTAATACACAATAAATTTATTTATTGAACTACAAGTTTAAACATATTTCTATACAAACGATAAACGAATTTCATTTCTGAAAATTCGACGATTATTGGAATGTGTTGTAGGTATGCATTAGAATAGTTATAAAATTTTGTACAATTTAATCATCATTTGATTGAACAATCTGAAATTTAACATATTAATAATTCATACAGTTCCGAAAAAACAATATGTCACTTACCATTGTGTGTCAGGTACTTGTTCTACGCTGACACCATTCCGTTTATTTTTCAACACATATGCTGTCGATAAAATAAAGAGCAAAGAATAAAAGAAAACGATGCCATTTGAGTTTGAATTCTCTCTTCTCTTCCTTTTTTTTCTGTCTCTCTCTCTCTCTTTACAAACTGACCTTTTTCTTTGTTCATATATATTCCGATACAATCGATCAATTTACACCAACGATAATAAAAAGAATAGAATCAACTATTCACCTGTATACAATACAAAAGGTCATATATCGATAACCTTTTGTCCATGAATAATGAGATAAAATAAAGTGCATGAGATCTCTCTTTTTTTTTTTAATATATATATATTCAACAATATTAAACAATACAAAAAAAAAGAAATCGTTTCTAATAATTGTCACGAGCCATTTTTTCTAATGTTCGAATACGCGTTCGATATCGAGTTACAAATTCACTTGCAAGATATTTAAAAATTTCTCCTATACCTTTGTTATCTTTCTAAAATAAAACGAGAATTTTACAAAAATCATAAAAACATAATTCAACTTACAGCTGAACATTCAAAAAATCCCATCTTTCGACTAGTAGCCAATTGTTTACCTTCTTGCGTTGAAACTACTCGGTGATTTTCTTTATCTATTTTATTACCAACCAACACACCTAAATAATAAAATAAATCATTGTAAAGAAAAAAAAGTCTTCTTTTTTTTAAATCTGTACCAAATATATTATGATCACCACGTGATTGACTTAATTGTTCTAACCACATAGCACAATTTTTAAATGAACTTCGATTAGTAACATCATATACAATACAATACATATCCATAGTTACCCACTGAAATAGATAGATATATGCAATAAAAATGAGCTATTTGTATAGAAAATACATACGACATCTCTTAAAGCATCAAGATAAACAGAATTGCCAGAACTATCAAATAAGAAAAATTCCTAAAATTATATACATGCATATATTTGTAAAAAGATAATTATTGAAATGAATTATTAACGTACCACAGTATCATCGCTATCTGGTACGCGAATTTGTTTGAGAACAAGATCAGCCAAATTTGTCTAAAGAATTCATAATTTATATTAATATACGCTCATATAGTCAACTTACGCAATTATACGTCTTAGGATATGCTGTAGCTTCGTTACCAGCAACATGACATATTGCAGTTTTACCAACGGTCATATCACCTAAAATATTCATAACAGATCCTTTTATTATTAAAATAAATGTTAACCTACCGACTACAACTAATTTTCCGTGTAGAAGTACCATCTTCAGAATTTTATTACTAGGATAATAATCTTGAAAAGAAGCAAAAGTGAACCATTATGCTATGATGATGGTTAGCAATAACCTTTATTCTGCACATTAAAATCAAAAATGTATTTATCCGTATATTTTCCAAAATAATTCAAATGATATAAATGTTAGTAAATGAATGTTTTCATTTAGATTATAATTAAAAAAGGATTCTAGCGACAATCAGATGAAAGCTGATTGGTTTACAGAATATAGGAATGACTCATTTATATTTGTCAGTCTGTCATAGACATCATTCATTTGACATCTCGTTTTGAAAATGGCTTCCGCTAGTTCGTTTCGTGTCGATCAAAGAGTTACCATTGCTGGTAAAGGTATAGGTACAATTGCATTCGTTGGAAAAACAGAATTTGCTGATGGTAAATAAATATTTTCTTCAAATATTTATATTCATATTCCCTTAGGAGAGTGGATCGGTATTATTCTGGATGAACCAAAAGGAAAAAATAATGGAAGTGTACAAAAGAAAGGTAGTTCTAGTCATTATTTTATATCTATAGTTTTAATAATAATAATTTATTTGAGATGGAAAGACTGTTCAATATTTTTCATGTAATGATAATCATGGACTATATGTTCGGGCTAATCAAATTGAGTCTGTAATAAGTGATGCTCAAACAAATTTATCACGATCAGCTTCCAATCAGTCAGTTAAATCACAAAACAGTACTACAGGAAGTATTCCAATACCTGTAACAACTGGAAATTCCACAAAACCACCTGGTACATCATCAAAAGCAACTGGACTTCGAGCACCAGCATCAAATACACCTGTTCGACCACCACCACCAGCAGGTAGATAATAATTCAAAAGAAAAGAAAAAATAAATAAATAATAAAAAATTTAAATAATTATTTTACAATAAATTAGGATATGATGATGAAATTGATTCATCAGGTAATAAAATTGATAGCTAGTCTTCACTTTATGCATGGTATATTTTTGCTCTACTGACTAGATTATAAAATCTAACTATGACGAAAATTTTTAGAATATAATTCATTTCTATCATATATTTAGTTCGGGTGATGGGTTAATTTAACTTTTTATTTTCTAATTTTCTTTAACATCGAATTTACTTTTTTAAATTTTTTATTCAAGCCGTTGCTCGTTCAGCTAAATCATCAAATGAAATTACTACACCAACAGTAACTGAAAAAGTATCCCCACCGAAAGAACAAATTAAACGACCACCAACACCTACAATACAATCAAAACCATCACCACCTACTGCGGTAAAAAAAGAGATTTCCAACTGTAATGATAAACGATATATAATTTAGCTTCCACCAGAACCGATACTACCAACGGCTCAACAACTTCCAAGTATTCGAAAAACATCAACTACTT